TAGGGTTGATCGGTTTAGGGTTTCGGATACAGTATGAACAGCCTTTATACGATCTTGGAAGGTTCATCCGTGACAGCCAACGATTCAGAGAATGATTCCTCCACCCTACACCCTTTGCTACGGAGCTTAATGGTTTTTTTGCATGATAGACATAGTAAACATGTCAACCTCAGTCCTCACCAAGAAATGAAACCCTACGAAATAATGCGCTTGACAGCTTAAAACCCTCTAGAACCCTTCCCAGCACCCTAGAATATCCTGGAGCACCCTTCGCAAGCCAATTAAGCCCTGTTTTAGGCCTTTCAAAATATCAAAACGTTTTTCACAAGCTCCCAACTCGTCGACGTAAGCTCTAGACCCTACAAACCCCAACCCAGCGTTTTACAAAGTACCCTGCATCGTATGCTCGTCCTAGCAAGGCGGGAGGCAACGAAACATGCTAAAACCCTACGAACCGTAACCCCTCCCCAAAGCCCTAAACTCCAAAAAACTTAGCAGTAGAGTAGGTCAGCTTTAACCTTTGTGCTGGTATTCTAACTCCCTTACAATCCCCTTTAGTTGCCCTAGGCTGCTGGACAAGTAACTAGGATGCCCAGTAGTGCCCTTATTCCCTTTTTGTAGTCCTAGGTTCCTTATAAAGTTACCCGATACCAAAAAGGGGCCCTTTGTATTCCTGGGCTACTGGGCATCCTAGTCCCTTCATACACCAAACCCCTTTTTGCAGCCCTCGCAGGGACCCGTATAGCTAGCAACCCTTGCTAGAATTGTAGTAAGGAAATTCCCATGCTGCCGCCTCTACCGAGGCTCAAGTCCCCGGTGAACTGCCAGGTTTGGCCTGGGCTTTCGCTTTACGAGTACAACATCGATGTGTCGCGGGGCCAAGAAGTTTAGGATTTGGGCTTAGAGCAAAGCTGTAGGGTTAAGAGTTCAGGCTTGTTGGGTTTCAGTTACAGTTAAGGGTGGCCGTGAAAGCGGTTTAGTATTTAGCATGTTAGAGTGTTACGAGTTGGGACTTTTGTTTAAGGGGGCCCAAGGTAAAAAGCCTCTCCTCATGTAGCCGCTTGCGAGCAAAGCAGCCGGGCAATTCCAAAGAGATCCATCCGCTCCTGGGGACTCACAGCTCAGAAGCTTTCAAGCATAGACCCTCAGCCCGGAAAGATGTCGAACCAGATATACCTGAACAACTATGTATAGCTATGTAACTATATTGGTTGCAAGAACCTGTGCGATCTTCAGGTTCCTTTCCTTAGCCTGCCAAAGCCCCCATCACCCCAAGGCTGTGCGGCTTCGCTCACCAGGCCCGAAAAAACGTTGATGTCGCGCGGAGAGCCCAACTTCAATCAAGCCGTATAAGATGCTATCAACATATTCTCTAAGATAAGCAATATTCTTTGATCCTAACCAGCCTGAAGCCGTATAAAACCCTTCTCGGAACCGCTGGGACATTCCTCTTTGTAGTCAAAGCCTGTAGAGCCTTCAAACAACCTAGGAGAATCCGTTAAACATGAAAGAAACAGATAAGAATCTTCCAAGAACTTCAAAGCCTAAACCGCAAAGGACCCCGAAACACGGCTTAGAGTTCAGGGGTTTAGCGGGCTCTCTGGCTGAGATACCGAGGCCTTCTGCAAAGACAAGACCTCGCAACGGCTCCCTCGAGTGGCTGGTGAAGTACCCTCGTGAGGCCGCGCGAGCCAAGGCTTTTCAGATAAGAACTGTTCAACACGATTAGAGTGTTTGTTGGTGACTTCAATGTTTTTTGATGATTTTAAAGAGGGTTGCATAAAGATTAGAGTTTTTTGATGAATTATGGAGAGGCTTTTCCATGAGTTTCGAGGATGTTATAGAAGGCTTTGCGATTGTAAGGGTATAGAGGTGTTTTGTGGGATGTAATCTGGGTTTTCTTGGATTAGATTTGCGTTTTGTAGGAGCAGCTCAGCTATTCACCCAGTTTAGTGCTTTGGGGCTTAGGGCCCGCACCCAGTTTGAGATGGTTCTAAAGTAGATTACGTGCGTTTAGGAATGTATACGGAGGTATGTTTATTTGGATACGAGAAATTTGGTGGTAGTAGTAGTAGTAGGAGTAGGAGTAGGAGTAGGAGTAGGAGTAGGAGTAGGAGTAGGAGTAGTAGTAGTAGTAGCAGTAGTAGTAGTAGTAGTAGTAGTAGTAGTAGGAGTAGTAGTAGGAGTAGTAGTAGTAGTAGTAGTAGTAGTAGTAGTAGTAGTAGTAGTAGTAGTTGGAGTTGGAGTCAGGGGTCGGGGTGCAACAACAGCAGTAGCAGTAGCAATGCTGGCAGGCAGGACAGCAAATTGCCGGCCTTGCTCCTGGGGTTGCATCCCTCAGCTCGTTCGCAGGGCATTCGTCTCTGAACCCTAAAGCCTAAATTAGGGTCCCCCATTTTCGGCAACTCCCATCTGTACCACCCCAAGATCTTGAAGTCAAGAAAGGAATCCTCAGCTTGCGCTAGGAACCGGCGTCCAAAACGGTAAGATCATACGTATAACGACCCCCGAAACCCAGACCCCTGGCGTAGCTCATGGTTGCCAGGTTAAAACCCCTATTCCTTGGGTCCCCTAATTTTCTGACCCTATGCCGCCCCAAAAGCCGCAAGCGCCATCGCAGGCTGTGTCCCTCGGCACATTCCCGGACCTGCTTTCTGCTTTCCAACGGACGGGTTTAGGAGATCTAGGGTTCAGCAGGTTTTTGGCGATTGAGTATTTGCTATGGGATAGAAAAGGCTGGGGATAACATTGAATCATGAAGATCCTTTATTCAGTTGGAGAAGGGGATATTTTTGAATCATGAAGATCCTTTATTCATTTGAGGAGAAGCATGCGGTTTGTCGTAGAAATCTTGGTGTTATCTGATGCCCGGGAACTAGTGTAAGTAATTGCCATTGCTTTTGTGGAACCCTGAACGCCGGACAAATCCTTTATACAAACACAAAGCCCCGTTAAACCGCTCATGGAGCCCGATACAAGCCCGGTAAAGCCCGTACCAGACACTGATCAACCATTACCGAACGTGCCCAACCCGGTAAAGCCCGTATAACGCGGTGTAAAGCCCACAGCAGCTTGATACGGCCCTTACTGTCCTAACCAATGGGAGAACTTTAAACCTTTTTTTGGCCCTATATACTTAGTCTATCTTAGAAAGCTTGAACTTGTTTGGGCCCGATTATTCGAGAAGAGAGCTTATCAGACCTCTCTAAACCCTCGTGTTTCCTGCAACGCCCGCGAAAAGCCTTTATACCAGCCCATCAGAAACTCAACGGCAAGAAGAAAAGTAAAAGCATTTGCGCTTGCGCACTCCTCATGAAACTTCTGTAGCACCCCATGAAAGCTCCAGAAAGCCCTTGTACAACCTGTGGATGACTCCATGAAAAAAGCAACAGCGACAACAGCTTTGCTTAAAGACACTTTTACATCGTTTTTTCCTGGGTGCAGTCTGCAAGATCTTATGCCCAGAGTGCCCAATATCCCTTAATTAAGGAATATAGCTTAGATCATAACATGAAGCCCCTAATGATTTAAGGTATATTCCTTAATTAATAGGTATTGGGCTTTCTGGGTGAACCCCGAAGGGCCGAGCAGATGGGTGGCTGCACCCGAGAGATAGTCGAACAAGGCTGAACTAAAACCTAAATCCGATCGATACATAACCCCGAGATTGGCTTTTTCCCTAAGGAGACCCGAACAAGACCGAACCAGAAGAGGATACCACATGAATAATCCCAGAACTTCCTTTAAATCCAACAAAGAAGCAAACGCCACACTAAGCCTATAGGATGTTTGCCAACCCTCAAGTGTCTGGGGATGGGCATGCCTATTCTTTCACTCCATTCCCGCTTTCCGATGCTAGGTATCTGAATAGTTGGCAGAGAAGGTTCAGCTAAGGATTCCGTTATGTTTAGGAGTTTAGTTTGCAAGAGCAACCCTTTTTATGGGTTTTATAAGGGCCCTTAGAGGGGTTCTCTGGGTCCACGTCGGGGCTTTAGAGAAATCAGCAATAGAAAAGCTCGAAATCCATCAAGGTGCTCTCAGGAACGAGTATTATATTGTGTTGGCTCATCTACCGGGTGGGTTCATTGCAAAAGGCGGAGCAAAATCCTACAAGAAACATTTGGGGTGGTACACGGTTTAGAGCTCAATTTTTAACGGGAGCTTCCGAAGCAAAACAGCCTAGCAAATAGGACACGCCGTGAACAAGACCCCCTATTACATATCTCAGCCGACCCCAAACCCTAAACCGAAGCCCAGGAAAGGGCCGACCGTCTGCAAACATGCAGAAGTGGGCAGCATGTGAGCGTGGGCGAAAAAGATTGCAGCCAGCGTAGGGATACATAGTTCGAGGGTCTGGAGTGCTTGGCACTGTGTGCTCAAGATGTCGATGATGAACAATGACATTGGCCGATGCATAAGCATTGAAGTATGTCTACTTCTGGGACGAATGGCAGCCAATCAGCTTAGAATAGCTTCCTGAAGCCGAACACGGAGGTCCGAATAATTGCGATTGTCCCGTTTAGTTTGTTGAAAAACCAATCTGGATCGTACCCGAAACCCTATTGAAAGATTAGTCAGACCCCCCATATTTCGTCTTTCAATTAAACCCATATCCCTGCGGTCTGTGGCATTTATTGGCCCTACCTTAACCCCAAAAGTTTGCCTGCTTGAGAATCTATGTAAGAAGATCATGATAAGGAGCCCCAAGAAAGTAGGTTTATAGTATGAAAGTAAACCTGGAAGCCTTACAGGGACTCTCCCTTCGTCTTTTTGCAAGGTGAGAGCCCGCTATTTCAATAAGGAGTAGATTTTTTTCGCACGCGCAGGGCAACAGTCTCGGTGGCCCATCTGAAACTCTTGCAAGATCCACATAGAACCCTCGTGAAACCCTTATCAAACATTGCAAAATCAAGTACAAAGCAATTACACCCTATGAAAGCCTTGAAACAGCTCTACCGAATCCACTGACTTCCTACAGAACAGACATAGAAAAATCCCAGGTGCTGACCATGGTCCTTCCGGGCCGGCAGATGACGCCTCACGAGCTAACTTCCCTGTGGGAGAAGGAGCGCCTTGCCTTCTTGTACGGCACTTTCGTATTTGTGATGTGCTTAATTAATTGGGGTTAGGGCTAGGGGTTAGGGTTTAGGGTTTTAGGGTTTTTATTGGGTTAGGGCTATTACAGGCAATAGGGTTTTGGGGCCCCGTATACTGTACTCATAATAAGGAACCACCACAATAGTGGGTTTGTTGCTGTTGCCACTACCATCCGTTTTCAGCGCATTAGCGTTTGGATCAGCCACGATCTATCCTGTGCAGCTCAGGTGGGGTGTGATGCATGCCACAAGGACGGCTCAGCATCAGCTTGCGCAGCGTAGACTGCCTTCTGCTTCAGGTCTCGAACGCAGGAACCCGTCTTTTACAATCAGGTTTGCTTCCGTGAAAGGAGTTGGCTGGTTTTCGCCATTCTCAGCACTCACTGTCAGTGACGAAAGCATCATTCTGCCGTCCAACCTTCGATAACTAGCCTGGCAGTGTCTGCAGAATGCATACGACTTGATAGTGATGGCATGTGTCCCCACTCTCGATCTGCCCCACCATGCAATAAAGAAGTCAATACAATTACCAATACTATTTGCTAGAAACCCCGGTATAGTTAGGCTTGACTATCACCCAAAAGACTATTCAAGTAATTGAAGCCCCTCTACTGAACCTCATCTGAAGCACCAAAATCCGATGTGGGGTCGGGGTCGCTGTGATGCCACTCCCAGACGGCTCGGAGACTAAAGTAGTACCGCACTGTTACCAAGAGGACCCTAAAAGGGACCCGAATCTAGAGAACTACCCATATGTTTCTTGGCGCGTGGATGCCTCAAATGCGGTGTTGCAACACTAGAAGTTCTACATCCTAATCCGTGCGCTGCGCCTATATCGGAGTTTCCGTGACATGGAAGCTGAAATAATTTACCAAGATTATTCCTGAGGCTTGTGCAATAAAAACATACTACAGTCTACCCAGAACCCTACTCTATATGCAGAAAGAACGCGCTGGATCGCACAGGATCAAGTTTCGATCCCCGTCGTCCTCGCCCTCAAAATGGCTGAGCCACCATGGCGACCACTTGCCACTGGCGCCAGTCGCAACTTGGCCGGTTCAGGGGTTAGGGAGGGTTTAGGTTAGGGTTTGAGGCTGTCCATCGAAACTGTCTTCCGACATGGCCAATGCTAAAGCTCGTGGTGAGGGAAAGGTAGGTCTTTAAGCATTCGCGAATGTTTCTGCAACCTACCTCCAGAAACGAGACCGTCCCTCGCAATTAAACACAAGCAGTCTGGCACACCCTAAACAAGGTATAAACCATTACAAATTTCTACCAGCAGTCGTCACAGCTATTCACAAGAAGGCAGAAGCCCAAGACCTCCTAGCCCGAAGCCCTCAATCTGAGGGTCCTTATAATAAGGATCCTACTATTTAGGGTACTATATTAGGGTCCCCTATTTTCCGAAACTCCCATCTGAGATGAGGTCGTGGTGTTGGAGACCAAGGGCTTGGGCAGCATTCTGAGCCTTCCACGGCAGTGGTTCATGTGAGTAGTTATAGAAGGGTTCTATACTGTTTGGGGTTTAGGGCTTACTTGGAGGTTCATGTGGGTAGTTTTAGAAGCGAGATTATAGGTCCCCTAACATGGGTTAGAAGTACAGTTACCCTACTTATAACCCTACTTATAACTATCCATGAACCTCCAAGTAGGGAATTACTGGGACTCGGTGCTTAGGGGTTAAGGTGCCGGACCCAAAAACTCCCCCGACCCCATCATCTAAAGAGCACCCCGGGTTGGGCTCTCGCATGATAGTGAAATTGGTGACGATAGTGTCGATGATGATGCCGTAACACGGCGCATGTGACCGTCTTCTGCAGAAAAAAGAGCTGATGATCGTGACGATGATGATGATTATGTGATTATGACGAAGAGGAGCAGGAGGAGGAGGAGGGGCAGGATGAGCAGGATGAACAGGATGAGCAGGATGAGCAGGATGAGCAGGATGATGATGATAATGAGGATGGATGATGGTGAGGATGCAGATGCTGACGGAGCATGAGGACAAGGAGGAGGAGGAGGAGGCTTATAATGATGATGATCATCACAATGACGATTGTAGTGGTGATGATGATTATGGCGCCCAAGACGACCATCATTGTGACGACTCTGCTGCGGCTTGCGATGTAAAAGGAGATCGACGGTGTCCTCCCGACATTGTTGCAGTAACCTACCTTTTTGGGGCTCCTTGCTATGACTGATTTCCACATATATCTCCTTAGAAAGGTAGGTTATCTGGGCTGAAGATATGGGTAGTTACGTTCTCTAAATTAGGTCCCTATTGTTAGGAGTTCGGCACCCTTATGAGAAGGACCCTAAACGAGACCCCTATTGTAGAGAACTACCCATATAACCTGTATACGACCCTACAAAAGAACTTATAGAACCCTGATTTAGACGCGAATATTCCCTAAACCTTAAACCCCACAAACAAAATATTTCCGTTGAACTTCAACAAAGAAGCCTTTAAAACACCCGTAAATAGCCGAGACATCACGACGCCCCCGGTCCGAGCCAGCAATCCTGGGTTCTTGTTCAGGAGCTTCAATTAAGTTACCAGAATTTTCCTGTTCCTTTGAACGTTCTAGAAGGGCTTAGGGTTAGGGCTCTTGTTAATAAGGAGTCTAGTTTAAGTTACCACAATATCCCCGTCATGGTAACTTGAATTAAATCCCTTAAGAAGAACCCAGTTATACTTTAGGGGTCTCAATAGTTACACTAGGGTTCGGTTCTTTCAAGGGATACTATAAGGGTACTGTAAGGGTTTAGTACAGGGGCCTCAATAATTAGAATAGGGCCTTGAGCGTCTTGTAAACTTCTCTTAGGAACCCTACCAGTAAGGAACAGTATTGAGAATTTTTCAGGCTCCTGCATTACCCCTTTTACACAGACTGTATAGGTTGAAGGATCCTGAAACCCTTAAACCTTTTCTCAAAATGAAGGAAGGGAGCTTAATTAAGCGGTTTTGGAGTCCTTGGGTCGGGAGATCAGGAATTCTTTGGCCTACACCCTAAAACCCTTAAACCCTAAACCCTTAACCCCTTAAACCCTCTAAAGCCTAAACCCTGAGTGGGGAGATGAGGAATTCTTTGGAGTGCGCTTTTCGCCAGCAGCGGGGCGCCCATGTGGAGACGCTCCGGCAGGGCCAGGACGCACGAATATAGAAGCTCGAACAACTTGTATTACGCTGCCTTAGGGCTCCGTATTCCGTACTATGCCCCAAAGCCCTATAAAATGAATATTCTAAGTATTAAATCCCTTTCGTAGGGTTTGGGCAGGGGGCGGCGGACTCAAAGTTATTAAGTGGTTATAAGAATGACCCTGCTAACCTTTATGCCAGCTAACCCTTTATGCCATCATAGTTGCAATCGAGACAACGGTGAAGAGCAGTTGGAAATAGTGACGAAACTAGACAAAGATACTGGCCTGCACATTGGCAGCAGCATGTGGAGGCTTCATTCGGAGAGTTTTCGCGTTGGGGATGAATGGGCTTGAGGTTTTGCATTTTGGTTTCAACTTGGGGCGAACAGTAGCTTCGGTTAGTGCTCAGGCTTTGGTTGTCCTGCATCAAGCCGATAAGCGCAATGGGTGGAAAGGCGGAGTTCAACTGATGTAGACTTTAAAATCTGTGTCCTATGTCCCACATGCCCCTCTATCTGATTAGGCCTCGACGTAAGTACCCGAATAAACCTCAAACCCTAGATCCTAATGTCTAAACCTAAGCCCTGAACCCTAGAACCCTAGAGCTCCAATGTACTGGCCCACATGTCACCCTGCGCCTGTCTTGCTGGTTATGAAGCTGCCGGTCGCAAAGGCTAAGTCGTCGCCGCAAATTTCTTTGGGTCTGCTACAGCTACCGCCCTTGTAAGGTGGCCGGCACCGGGCTCGGGTGCCCAGAGCATCAATGCCGCGATCGGCATGGCCACACTTCCGAGAGACTGGTTGTGGTCATGGCGGACGATCTGGGAGCACCGCGGCTCGTTGATAGAGAGCCGAGATCCTGGGCTGACAACCGCGGCCTGCTGCCATGATTTGGGTAAAAATGCAGGCACAACGTTCGTTTCCAGCTCGAGGCAGCGGAGTTCAGTTGGGACCAAACCATCCTTGGCGACTTCTTTGCGCTGGCTCCGGGAGTCAAGCTTCGCTGGAATGAGGCAGCCAATCCCAAGACGAGCTTTGACATGTGTGCGCAGGTCTTGCAGCGTGGCCCACTCCATGCGCGGCAACCGGCTGTCAGTGCCTGCGGCTCACTACGAGGCTGGCGGCCACGGCGAAAAGGACTCGAAGCGGCGACACGCGGCCACGAAGGCTCGTGAGTTACCTGCTCGAGCAGTGGAGGGCTGCCAACGGCGAGGCCGTCTTCTGCGGAAGCCGCGATGATGATCAAGTCCGCTTGCGTCGGGGTCTTGCGCTCATCTGCGACGACGAGGCACAGAGGCTTGATGGCTTCGTTTCCAGATCGAGGTGTCGGAGTTCAGCTGGGGCCAGACTCGACCATCCTTGGCGACTTCTTTGTGCTGGCTCCAGGAGTCAAGCTTCGCTGGAATGAGGCAGCCAATCCCAAGACGAGCTTTGACATGTGTGCGCAGGTCTTGCAGCGTGGCCCACTCCATGCGCGGCAACCGGCTGTCAGTGCCTGCGGCTCACTACGAGGCTGGCGGCCACGGCGAAAAGGACGCGAAGCGGCGACACGCGGCCACGAAGGCTCGTGAGTTACCTGCTCGAGCAGTGGAGGGCTGCCAACGGCGAGGCCGTCTTCTGCGAAAGCCGCGATGATGATCAAGTCCGCTTGCGTCGGGGTCTTGCGCTCATCTGCGACGACGAGGCACAGAGGCTTGATGGCTTCGTTTCCAGATCGAGGTGTCGGAGTTCAGCTGGGGCCAGACTCGACCATCCTTGGCGACTTCTTTGTGCTGGCTCCAGGAGTCAAGCTTCGCTGGAATGAGGCAGCCAATCCCAAGACGAGCTTTGACATGTGTGTGCAGGTCTTGCAGCGTGGCCCACTCCATGCGCGGCAACCGGCTGTCAGCGCCTGCGGCTCACTACGAGGCTGGCGCCCACGGCGAAAAGGACGCGAAGCGGCGACACGCGGCCACGAGGGCTCGTGACTTACCTGCTCGAGCAGTGGAGGGCTGCCAACGGCGAGGCCGTCTTCTGCGGAAGCCGCGATGATGATCAAGTCCGCTTGTGTCGGGGTCTTGCGCTCATCTGCGACGACGAGGCACAGAGGCTTGATGGCTTCGTTTCCAGATCGAGGTGTCGGAGTTCAGCTGGGGCCAGACTCGACCATCCTTGGCGACTTCTTTGTGCTGGCTCCAGGAGTCAAGCTTCGCTGGAATGAGGCAGCCAATCCCAAGACGAGCTTTGACATGTGTGCGCAGGTCTTGCAGCGTGGCCCACTCCATGCGCGGCAACCGGCTGTCAGCGCCTGCGGCTCACTACGAGGCTGGCGGCCACGGCGAAAAGGACGCGAAGCGGCGACACGCGGCCACGAAGGCTCGTGACTTACCTGCTCGAGCAGTGGAGGGCTGCCAACGGCGAGGCCGTCTTCTGCGGAAGCCGCGATGATGATCAAGTCCGCTTGCGTCGGGGTCTTGCGCTCATCTGCGACGACGAGGCACAGAGGCTTGATGGCTTCGTTTCCAGATCGAGGTGTCGGAGTTCAGCTGGGGCCAGACTCGACCATCCTTGGCGACTTCTTTGTGCTGGCGCTGGAATGAGGCAGCCAATCCCAAGACGAGCTTTGACATGTGTGTGCAGGTCTTGCAGCGTGACCCACTCCATGCGCGGCAACCGGCTGTCAGCGCCTGCGGCTCACTACGAGGCTGGCGGCCACGGCGAAAAGGACGCGAAGCGGCGACACGCGGCCACGAAGGCTCGTGAGTTACCTGCTCGAGCAGTGGAGGGCTGCCAACGGCGAGGCCGTCTTCTGCGGAAGCCGCGATGATGATCAAGTCCGCTTGCGTCGGGGTCTTGCGCTCATCTGCGACGACGAGGCACAGAGGCTTGATGGCTTCGTTTCCAGATCGAGGTGTCGGAGTTCAGCTGGGGCCAGACTCGACCATCCTTGGCGACTTCTTTGTGCTGGCTCCAGGAGTCAAGCTTCGCTGGAATGAGGCAGCCAATCCCAAGACAAGCCTTGACATGTGTGCGCAGGTCATGCAGCGTGGCCCACTCCATGCGCGGCAACCGGCTGTCAGTGCCTGCGGCTCACTACCACGTCACTACGAGGCGGGCGGCCACGGCGAAAAGGACGCGAAGCGGCGACACGCGGCCACGAAGGCTCGTGACGTACCTGCTCGAGCAGTGGAGGGCTGCCAACGGCGAGGCCATCTTCTGCAGAAGCCCTGATGATGGTCAAGTCCTCTTGCGTCGGGGACTTGCACTCATCTGCTGCGACGATGCACAGAGGTTTGATGGCTTCGTTTCCAGCTCGAGGTAGCTGGAACCAGACCATCCTGGCATCCTGGGTGACTTCTTGTGCTGGCTCCAGGAGTCAAGCTTCGCTGAAATGAGGCAACCAATTCCAAGACAAGCCTTGACATGTGTGCGCAGGTCTTGCAGCGTGGCCCACTCCATGCGGCAACCGGCTGTCAGTGCCTGCGGCGAGGCCATCTTCTTCGGGAGCCGTGATGATGATCAAGCCCGCCTGCTTCGGGGACTTGCACTCATCCACGACGACGATGCACAGAGGTTTGATGGCATCCCAGCTAAACACACAACGATTCTGCTTGAAGGCGGAGATGATACCTTTTTGGCATAAATCCCCGAAGCCCCAATCCATTGTCGTCAGTCATGGTGACTCCTATATGATGGAGTGAAGCGCTTCTGCATGGAATGTTTTTGGCAATTGAAATGAAGTGCATGGATGCATTTGGATTCTGCCCGTTGCAAGCGGAATGACTTTATCTGCTTGGCTATGTAGGACATGCAACGGCTTGCCTTTTGTGAAAAGTGAGTGTTAAGCGACCGATCAGGACAACGGTCGAAACTTTGCAGACATTTGCCTTTTACGGGTGTTGTTCTGTTTTGTATATTGATCATTCCATAACGTTTGTAGTTATGAACATGGCGGCAATGTTCCACTGATAAGCAGATCTCGATACCCTGGCCATGGGCCTTGAAAATTGCCTTGCGCTTGAGATTCGTTTATCACACGCAACTTGCCGTTTCTTCGGATTCATGGTAGGGGTAGCTTGAGGAGGCTGCCTTGAGAAACTACGTGGTATGTTTTGCTCTTTTTAATGGCTCCTCCTTGAGAGTGTTTCACATCATCCGAGTACACACCCGTAACCTCGCCTGGATTGTCCGAGCGCGAGCGCCGACATGGCAAATCCCCAAAACCTTTAACCCTAGAACCCTAGAGCCCTAAAATATAAGCCAGGTTTGGTAATTCAGACCCACGCTTCAGCCAGAGGAGTTCCAATGGTCTTCCTGGACTCCACAGCAGGAATTCGAGTGGGGCGTTGGGTTTGCTACTTGGGGCTTCCAATCTTTAGGGCTGTTCAATGTCAGGGCTTGATTACGATATAGGGCTTCCAAGATTGAGGGTGTTGGGTTTCAGGTTTACGGTTGGGCTCAGTGGTGTACGATTTGTTTCTCCAAATATTGTTGGAGTACGCCTGGCGGTTCTGTGTCGTGAGGGCTCACAACACCCGTCTTGCGATTGTTTCGGAACCGAGAGCCTAACAAAAGACTCAATGTCATTGAGACTTTGGCAAGCAGTGAAACACACGATGCCTGTCGTTTTGTCAGAGTAGATGCGGGCACGGGAACGTGCCTGACTTCACATGTAATGTAGCAAAACGCACACTTGCTTCTGCAGCCTCTGGGCAGGCTCTGGATGAAAACCACCGGATTCTGAGTGAGAAAGAGCTGCAGTGGCACCGCGAGCGTGCTGCAGAAGCCGATCTCCCAAAACCCCCACCCCCACCCCAAAACCTGTCGACGCCCTTGATCGACCCCTACGCGTCACCGGAAGTCTATGCCGCCGGGGCACCTCCAAAAACAACCACGACAACCGCACCCACCACACACAAGCCACAACCCAGTGCCAGCCCCGTCACTCGCACGACGCCCTATCCCAAAGCAGCAGTTTCCGGCACAACAGCTGCCAGGAAGATGCCCCCAGAAACCACCACCAGCCCAGAACCTCAGAAGGCTGCAACAAGCGGCCCCCGACCATTTCGGGAGATCACGGCCACCAGAACTACACCTGCTGCCCCGTCGGCCCCGCCACAGCAAGGAGCTTGAGTTTAGGGCTTGTGGTTTAGGGTGAAGGATTGGCATGGTTCGGTGAACCACGAAACTCAGGGGTTAAGTTGGCTTAAGGGTTCCGGGTTAAACAGTCCAACCAGTGTTTTCCACACCCTCCCTGTTTTGTCTATCTAGGTCTTTACACCATAGGGACCTTCAAAATGTTTTTCGGTTTCACGTCTACAGGTGTAGGGTTGGGAGATTGCAAGTTTCGGACGAGAGATCTCCGCGGCTCTCCCCCCGGAAACTGGTTCAAGAGATTAGAGTTGCAGCATCACAAAAACCGTAGGCCGCCCTGCAGCCCTGAAACTTTCCTCAATCCTAACCTGGATTCTGCAAGCATCCGAAATCGAAACCACATGAAGCCAGGAGCAGAGCCCTAAGTTCTGACTCGGCACTCTCACCACTCCCATTGAAAAATACATAGAGCTTTGAATAATTACTGGTCACAGTTCATGCGTGTGAGCGTCTTCAAAACAGGAATCACGGTTTCAGGTCCCCAGACCGGGCCCTTCACATCAGGAAAAGCTTACGCCTACTGATGACAATGATTGTAACAGCAGTAGCAATAACAACATCGATAGTAACAATAAGAAGAAGAAGAACAGGAATAAGAATAGCAGCAGTTACAATGACAGTACAGAGCACAACCTGGAGATTCGGACGGGGGCTTAAACCCTAAACCCTTAAACCCTCAAGCCTTAAAACCTTAAAGCCCGAACTGTAAACCCTAAACCCCTAAACCCTAAACCCTAAACCCTAAACCCCTAAACCCCTAAACCCCTAAACCCTAAACCGATTCCGACTGAGACAGGAGCCCCGGCCAAGGCCAGGACCGAGAAGCCCGCAGCCGAGGGGGAGGGCTGGGCAGCGCAGCAGCAGAGGCTGAAGAAGGACGGAGTTGGAATAGTTTGGCATTTTTCAGGTTTTGGGACTTAAGGGTTTTAGGGTTTAGGGGTATTTTGGCGTTTTTCAAGTTTAGGACTTAAGGCGTTTTAGGGTTTAGGGGTTTTAGGGTTTAGGGGTTTCAGGGTTTAGGGGTTTTAGGGTTTAGGGGTTTTAGGTTTTAGGGCTTCAGGATGCTTTGGGTACATGCAGGGTCGGGGACTCAGTAAGTAGGCACTAAGTAGAGTAAGTAGAGTTACCTAGAGTTATAAGCACCATAAAGAGAATCCTAATTGGGGTTGTGATATTTACAACTCCATAAACTAACTTCTCGGTTTGGGGATTTGGGGCTTGGGGTGTTAGGCTTTAGGGAGACTGGTTTACGGTTGTGGGTCCTGTTGGCTTTAGGTTAGCAACAACCACAACCAGCACGCAACCGCGCTACTTATAATCGCAAGGCCAGCAAGCACAACAATACCAAGGAGCTTGTCACAGGTCAGAGGTTGCAATTGTGCAGTATGAATGCTTTGGTAATGAGTGCTAGTCGACCGTGTGTCTACTTGCCGTCGATTCTGCCCCGTTCATCTCATGTCGACGTCATCAAGTCTTCCGCCGCATTGCATTTCGACGACATCAGTTCTTATATCGAACCTGCCTTGGGCCGGAATCCATGGTTCAGGATTGTTTAATGTGCTGTAACCGGGCTGCTGGACAACGAGGCCTGCTGCAAAAAGGATTGTTTAATGGATACGGAGCCTAAGGCTTTAGCCCTATCCCCTACTTCCAACCCGAAACAGCCACCCGCGAACCCTGACGAGAACTTAAATACCGCAGCTGTAAAGACCCATCACAACACCCAATGCCTTTCAATCCTGGGAACACCGGAACTGATTTAAATCCTAATCTCAGAAGCTGAAACCCCCAAACTGAATCCCGAAAACCTGCACCCTCCACCATAACAAAACTTGATGTCCGAAACGTGAGTTTCAAACCCTAAACCCTATACCCCAAAGAACCCTAGCTTTAGTTTTCCGAAACCCTAAACCCTTTAAAGATCCTTTGAAGGACCCTTTAAAGCAACCCAAAGCGGTCTCCGTCCAGGAGCAGCGAGAAGCCCGGCTGGCCGAGAACCTCCGGAGCGAACCGAGGGCACAGTTCTGTCCCTGGCCGCCTTCGGTTTCGAGATCCTTTCAAGGGTACTATAGGATCCTTTTAAGGGTGCTGTAGGGTTCTTTTTAGGGTTTTAGGGTTTGATATGGTTTGGTCCGGTTGTAGTAATTATCATGCTTGTGCCTAACAGTAGAGTAGGTCACCTTTAACCTTTTTGGGTACAAATACTCCGTTGATCATCCCAGTATACTCTCAAAAGCAAACCTTAGTATCATGCTTATGATTATGTCGAATCTGGTACCATGAGTCTTGGTAGTAGTACTTGTTGTAGTCATCGAGCAGGATGTAAGTGGCGATAGCCGTAGCAGCTGCAGAAGCGCTGGCCCTAGAATTGAACCGAAGGGCAGAGCCTGAATGAAACCCGAGCGACTGTTACAGCAACCATCCCTGGTGAAAGAATACCGGGCCTCCAGCAACAGTACCCGTGCCACTCCCTTGTGGAAGGTGGATTTACTGCACGTGCTATTTATTCTAAAGGGAACTCCAGAAAGTTGGAATATAGATTAATGGTAGGATCCCTTATAATCTAACTTAAAGGGGTTACGATAATGATATTCCAACTTTCTGGCTTCTACTGTAAGACCTGCGGACCATGTGAGGAGGCGTCAAGCTCGCGGAGGGGAGCCCCAAGATGTGCCCTCGAGGCGCGAGGGCATTCAGGGTATGTTGGTGGTACCACGGTGAGCTTGGTTATGATGATCCCAGAGAGCCCAATACTCCTTAATTAAGCAACATACCTTAAATCATCAGGGGTTCATATTCCTCCATTACGGGGTATTGGGCTCTCTGGGATGATGATGATGATGATGATGATACCGTTAATGACTGCTTTGCTGATCATGGCAGCGAAGATGGCGATAGTGATGGCAAGGATGACGCATGACTCTGATCAAGGTGGCCATGGGATAGTTCCTGGGTTTGGAGTACCATACTTGAATACCCTTTTTGGTACACTGGTTGCCACGGTGGCAATTACAATCACTGGCGTGATCGTGATCACGAATAGCCTGAGCCAAGGATTTTGTCGAAGCACCGTCTGATGGCGACTATGATGACTATGGATGACTATGGACTATGGTTATGATGATGCTGGGAGCGGTGACGATGTTGCTGATGACAACAGCAAAAGAGCCGTTGTTTTGCTGGTCTATGGGTAGTTGTAAGTAGGGTTATACCGAAGGTAATTATACGTATAACCCATATTGGGGGACTTTTCTCCGCATGAACCTCCAAGTAGGGAGGCTAGACCAGGAAAGGCCTTGTCTGGTCTACAGTTGAGAGGCCCCCGGCGGTTGAGCCAGATGCCCGCCTCCATCGTGCAGTCGTGGCCCCAGCATTTGTTGATGTTTAAAGTTTAGTGGTTTAGCTTCTGGGATGTAGGCCTTAGGGTAGTGTAATGAGGTTGTCCCTCTCGCTCTTGGCTTCTGAGCATGTTGCACCGTCTAAGTTGCACACGCAACTCAAATTTGCTTGGCATTGGCTGCAATCTGAGTTCAGATGTCATGGTCTCTTGACTGAGGTCATGTTCGGAGTTCTGGCTTACATAAGGCTCCACCAACAGCGCGATCATTGTCCTCATATTCAAAAATAGTCATGATAATTACGATGAGGCCGAGCCAACTTGAGGGTCCCTGAGTTATCGTTCTCACATTGGGTTAAGGGTTTAGAGCGTAGGATTGCTAGGGCCTCGGTATTCCTGAACACGGAACTTCAACAGCTCGAAACCTACGCAGAAAAGCAACGCAAAGACAAAACCAAGAAGACATGCACAAAAAGAAAGGCAATAAAAAACGTTGAACATTGGAAGAAAGAAGACTATCAACCGGAGGAGTAGAAGAGTGTCGAACCGCAACACCGGTAGACGCCGATGGTGATCAGTGCGTTAGCAGCACGGTACTTGAAACACTTGTCAAGAAGACCAAGAAATCACCACCCTACAGGCCAACGAAAGAAACCTAAACCCTAAACCCCTAAACCCTAAACCCCTAAACCCTCAACCCCTAAACCCTAAACCCCTAAACCCTAAACCCTAAAACCCTAAACCCCTAAACCCTAAACCCTAAACGGGAGATGTTCTTTCCCGAAAAGCCGTTCCACGACCTTGGGAAGGCAAATCTGCAAGATCCGCAGAGCTACGCCGCCTCCCAGGTTCTCGAGGGTTTAGGGTGTCTCTCTTTTTAAGATCCGAGAAGAACATACACATAAGCATTTTATGGGGATATTATCCCTACCTTATTGGGCTTCATTATAAGGGGGGCTTATATGGGATATCCTTATCCTGAGTTTTGCTTATGTGCTTCTTGGGGGCCCTATGTGTGTGTATGCGACAGTTCCATGCAACCCCGAAGCTCGGGTCGGAGCTTGCAGGCTGCGCACAGGGTGGAATAAACACGGGCTTCCATGTCAGCTTCCAAGTATTGGGGTTGTGGATTTCGGGGATAGCGAACTCATGAAGCATCCTGAAAGCTAAACGCCCAGGAAATTGAGGGACGGACACATGCCTCGGCAAAAAACTTCATGGTGACTTCAGGGCTTAAAGGGCAGAATGTCTTGCTTCAGCGTTTGCTCGCCAAGAGGATGCAGATTCAAAGCCGGAAGTTTTAGCCTTGAAACTTAGGACCAGCATCTCTGGGCTACAGGTATACATCCTCAGACTGCCCCTTGAGCTTTGAGCCTTTACTCAGATCCCCAATACCTAACCTTCAAACCTTTTTGGGCTCTTAAAGTTTAGTAGGAATCGGAAAGTTTAACATTCTATTTCTGTGGCTTATTGGGGTAGTAAGTCTATTTCATCTCTTCCAGACCCCTTCTGGGCCTTGCAGACCCGATGAAATTTGAAATTGCTTTAAAACTCGAAATACCTATAAGACCCTTCTGGAACCCAGAACCCTCATTCGAACCCCTAAAAAGGTTGTGCTAGTCCAAAAAGGAACTTGTAGAACCCTTCTAGAGCCCAACGAATTTAACATGCCCCAACCTTCAACCCCGAAACCTACAGAAGAACTTACAGAACCCTCCTAAAACCCCAAGGGGTTGAAAAGATGCCAGGAGCAGAGTGCTGGACACAGTGCCAAAGCTGCACCAGCACCAGGAGCTCGTAGAAGCTTTGCCTGTTTTCTGTTAGGGTGTAGGGTTTGGGGTTCAGATTGGGTAGTTGTCAAAATTATGGCTCCTTTTTGGGTACCCTAAACATTAGGTGCCGTAAGTTACATTAAGGACCCAAAAGGGTACCATAATTTTGGCGACCACCCAGATCGAGTTCAGGGAAAGGGCTGAATGGGGTCTACTTGGAGGTTCATGGGTAATTATAAGTAGGGTTATAAGTAGGGCAACTATACTTATGACTTCTAACCCATATTAGGGGACTAATAACCCCACTTATAACTACCCATGAGCCTCCAAGTAGGTTTTTGTTGGTGTTTCGGCTTGCGGTTCATATTCGGATTCGTGCCAGGGAGGGTTGTATGACTTTCATGAGGATTCCTCTCCGGATCAACACCGGGGCTTTACTCAGACTCAGGGCTTTCCGACGGCACCCTAAACCCGAAACCGCCACCATGATGACGAAAGTTGTTCAAGCTTCTTGAGCTCAAGAACTATTTAGGCATACCGTGAAGGTCCATGGGTAGTTGTATATGGGGTTAAGAGTCCTGTATCATTGAGCGTTCCTGTGAAGCCTTGCATAAGATAGGGGTCGGAAGAAGTCGGGTTTAGAGATTAGGATTGAGGGTGCGAAATAATTACACATGTTGTTGCTTAGGGCACTTGATAAACTGATGAGTCCAGAAGCTACTCGAACTATTGGGCCTCGTGTTGCTGGGCCTTGAGCGTTCTCGGTTCAGGCTTTCGGGCTTCTTCATCCTTGCAACTAGGGCTTGGGGTTGTAAGTTACAAGGGTTAGGGTTTATGGGTTTGGGATAGAAATAAATGTTCTTTCCGAGTGAGCTTTGGAGCTTTCAGGAGACGGCAAAGAGCGCGAGGACCGCCGCCAGAGGCCAGCGTGGTAGGTAGTTGCTCCGGAACTGGTTAGGGTTAGGGATTAGGTCTGTCAAAAAACGTTGTTGATAATATTCGTCAGCACGATCATGGTGACAATGGCCGTAAAGTCCCGATGGCAATGGGGATGGCCCCCATAACCTTGATGACGACCGGGATGATAATCTACACCATTTCGATATCTGTGATCACGATGATCACCATACTCAGAGTGTTAATGTTCACTGGCAATGGCTGTCCATGGCGACGATTTTCCGACCCGCATCACCACTGGTGTAATGATGTTGACGAAAGGTGCCGGCCCGATTTCTTCCAACCGCAGTCGTGCCGGGTGGTAGCTAACTGTGGGCATGCGAACACGCAGAGCAGAGTTTTCTACACGCGTAGGAAGCCTCGCTTTCTAGCTTTCTAAGCCCCCTACCCAGACAGATCTCATGTCGCCCTTCCCGCCCCCTGGCCCCTAGGTTGTGTTTGTTATGCTTCCCTTTCTGTTGTCTTGTGGGCTAGGGTTTCCACGAAGCAGTAGTGGTAAATAGAATAGGAAACTAGAGTATGCCAATATAGAAGCTCAAAGTAGCTGGGTCCTAAAGGCCCTTAGATAAGGTACCGCGTGGAACTGCCATATGTATTGTCGTTCATTATAATATATATATATATATATATATATATATATATATATACATATACATATATGTATATACATACATACATACAAAAGTAAACAGTTGGTAGTATGATTCCCTGCCAGCCCCTAACTAACATGTAGTCATTATGAACGGCCCCAAAAATCCATTGAAAGTGTTAAGGGCCCGGCATTGAACCCCAATAATAATGACAACAGTATTCCCTGAAAGGAAATATCATGAATTCCTCAATACCCCTTGTAGCAAGCCGCACATAAAACTTTATGGGATCCCTTAAAGGCACCTTGTTCTAACTATCAAGTCCTGTAACTTGGAGGTTCGTGGCTAGTTATAAGTGAGGTCACAAGTCCCCTGGCATGGGTTATAAGTGTAGGTACCCTACGTAAAATCCTACTTGTAACTACCCATGGCCCATGAACCTCAAAGTAAGCCCTAGACCCTAAACCCTAAAGGAACCGTTCAAGGAACCCTTACTACCCATGAACTCCAAGTATACCGTCTTGCTCACCCAGGCAGCCGCGACCTGACTCCCCGCCTTCCGAGCCACAGAGCTGCAGGAAGACATCGACTCCAAACCCGAGGTTCATTAAAGGGAGCCCTTAAGGGTACCCCTAGGGTACCTTAGGGTGCCATGATAGGGTCCCCTTTAAGGATTCCTTAAAGGGCTCTATGCAGGTTCTACGTCGGGGTTTGGGGGGTTTAGGGGAAAGGGCTCTTTGAGAGAATTGAGCTACAGACCTGAGGGTTTGGTGTTATTTAGGTTGCTAGGCTTCTGAAGGGATCTGGAAGACCAGGTTTGGACCCAATAAGAATCTCGTACTGCACTTGGGCCGACTGGGTAAGGTTTAGGTTCTCAGGGTTTAGGAGCGCTTAGGGTTCAGCTTAGTAGCTGAGTGGGTACACTTTACCTCTTTTGGGATAATATTACCCACTATGAAACTGAAAGTGTACACTTTTGGGGGGCTTATGAATTCAGCAGCTAAGAATCCTCGACTCGAGCCCAGTGGGAACAAGGATTCTAGAGTTTCTGTTTGAGGGTTTCCATGAATCAGGGACTTTAGGGTCTAGTAAATCTACGACAGTATTCTTCAAAGTCCTACTTTAGGAGTTCAGGCCCCCTTTATTCCTTGATGTGGGTGGCAATGGAAAATTTGCACGGATCAGTCCGATGGCTCTTCGAGTGCTTCGGGTTTGAGTTTTCCGTTTTGGGTTTAGGGTTTTGGCAGCTCCAATTCGAGAAGTTTCTGGTCTATCTCTCTATCCCGAAATCGATTATCTATCCACGCATTTTTCGTTGTTTCATAACATTGGGAAGACATTTTACTGTCTATGGACCCCAAAGCCAGGGCCTAAATCCTGAATCCTAGAGCCTAAGTATGCGTCGTCTCATGTAAGACCTTCGTTGTGTTATGCCGGCTTTTGCGTACAACGATGAAGAGATTGAGAGACTAGCGTTGAGGGCATGGTTCGATCTCAGGAACATGGACAATCATGCCGAAGACAACGATTTCGGAGGCCACTGCATTTTAGGGTGCAAGGAGTGGAAAGGTTAGGGTACGAAGGTTGCGGGCTGAAGGGGCTGAGGGTCTAAAGGATTTGGGGACTTCAGGTTTAGTGTCGGGGAGGAATGAGAGTATGTTGATGTGTCAGCTCTTGACCTTCGTGAGGTTGCATGGAGGATTATACCCGAAGGCTTAAGGGTTTAGGAACTGGGGTGTAAGGTTTAATGGGGTCTAGCGTGCAAGACAGTGTAGGGTTTACTCGTGTTGCACCTCCACTCGCGCAAAGCGTTTTGCAGTTATCTACATCTACGTGGGTAGTTGTCAAAATTAGGGCCCCTTTTTGCGTACCCTAAATGATAGGTGCCGTATTACAATAAGGACCCAAAAAGGGACCCTAAGACAACCACCCATGTTGCTTTGCGTATAGTCTTAGATGATTTGGTTCTGCAACTTCCCGTCCGACTCTCTAAACCCTAAACCCTAAACCCTAAAACCCTAAAACCCTAAACCCTAAACCCGCCCCGAAAGCCTGCCCCAATAGCCACGAAAATCTTAACAAACACGTTTGAAGACCCCGCCTGTTGAAATCGGGTGGTTTCAGGATTTAGGTTCGCCGGATCCCAGAGAGCCCAAGATCCCTTAGTTAAGGAATATGGCTTAAATCATAGTATGAAGCCCCTAATAACTGCAGGTATATTCCTTAGTTAAGGAATATGGCTTAAATCATAGCATGAAGCCCCTAATAATTGCAGGTATATTCCTTAGTTAAAGGCGTATTGGGCTCTCTGGGGTTTATAGGGTCTTAGGGTCGACGTTCGGTTTATTCGCATGCCGGACCGCTGCAAGGTTACTCGGCAGCTACACTCCGAGAATTACGCGGTGTGTCTTTTTCGGGTCAGGGAATGCAGCACTACGGCCTGGGGCCTTGGATTTCGCATCCGAATCCAGCATTCCCCGCCTCGAACTACACCTCCGAAACTGCCAGCACAAGCTCTGCAAAACACCACTATAAGGGTTGCTACAATGAGGGATGGAGAGGTAGAGGGGCTTTAATAGTTGTACCTGTAGCATAAAGTGAGGAACCCTTATGAGCAACAGGCGTCTGAATTGCTTTAAATGTTATGAGGGTGCTTCTTATAGCTTGAATCCTGTTAGGTGTCCTCGTGTTGTTTCATGTAGAATTAGGGTCCCTATTAAAAACCACGTGAAGGTAGGGGTATTTGTTAGTCAGGGTTCCAAACTGCATTCCTAGTAGCCGAAAGAGTATATCTTACACGTCTTGAGGTAATATCATCTCGATAGAACTGAAAGTTGATTTTTTGGTGCTTATGAATTCAGGAACTCCGTTTTCTTTTGATACGCATAAAACTAAACCCTAAGCCACGGGCTTTTAGAGCGGAATTTCTGGGAGGCGTCCCTCTGCGGGTGCTGCGCTCCAAGCAGCTCCAGGGGAACGGTGGCGGCGGCGGGTTGCTCTCCTGGGGGAAGTGAGGCTTTCGATCCTTCTTCAGGGACTTAGACCGGTCTTACATGTGATCATACCCTGATTTGTTACATGATATGTATTACATGTTACATATTCTGTACATATATATATATACCATATCAAACATTCCATAACATGTAAATGTATTAAACCATCCCCGAAGCGCAAGCATTCTGAATGCCGGGAACGGTAGCACTACGAGGTTCCGAAGTTTCAGGGTCGTGATTTCGACGTTCCCAGAGACTCCAATATCCCTCAATGGACGAATATACCCAAAAATCATTAGTAGGATCTCTAATATGATTTACGGGATATTCCCTAATTAATGGATAGCGACGGCTTGGGGTTGCGATGAACACTAAACTGACTCCAATGTGGTTAGATGCTGATTCCGAAAACCCTATAAGGGGAACCACTAGTGTTGAGAAAGGCCCGAACCCTTAAACGTACAGGTGCGTCGGTCATGCTGTTGCTTTTACAAATAGCTGTAACTCTGACTGTTGTTCGTCGTAGTGGGGGCTTTTGTAATGTTGGGGTCCTTCTTGGGGGGATCCTCATCGCATGAAACCCGGTGCAGGGTTTAAGACTTCGAGATATCTTAACATAATATATAACTATATACTTGTATGTGTTTAGATCCACGTTTCTTTGCTCTCACGCTTTCGTCTATGTACACATACTCGCAAACCAAGCACAGACACATGAATGTGTTCATGTGTTCACTCCATGTAGCTATTTCTGCTTATTCATATCTATACTCAGACTTCAATTAGATACTATACATATATATATACACTTATTCATTTAAATTTATGCACATGTGTATTGGTTTATATATATATATACGTATACATACCGATAGTCGGTGTAGGCTTCTCGGAATCTGCGAGCCGCAGCATCCCACATCCGCCGAGCAGTGCTCCGAGCTCTGAGACTCGAAGATCGAAGTCAACAAGAAAAATGGAAAATTAGGGGTACCTTAGGGCTCCTTTAAAGGGTTACTATAAGGGTACTATAAGGGTTCCTTTAAAGGGGCTTTAGAAGGGTTTAGAGTTTCCGATAATTTGTGGTACCTTATTTTGGGGTCCTTATAAGAAGGATCCTGCTATTTGGGGTACTATATTAAGGTCCCCTATTTTCGGAAACTCCCAAATACCGTGCAGGGTTAAAGGTTTTCAGTTAGGAAGCCAAAATGCACATAAGCATAAGCATTTCATGGGGATATCCCGACCTTCTTAAGTTTACTGGGGTTTAGGTTTTCAGGTTTAAGGTTTAGAGTTTACTAGGTTTAAGGTTTAGGGTTTACTAGTACCAGGGTTTAGGGAGTAAGGTTTAGGGCTTCAAGTTCAGAGTTTTGGTTTAGGCGTTCCCTTCAAGGTCTAGGATTCCCGGCAATGCAGGCTCGTCCTAGCTAGGTGGGAGGCAAGAGAGTTAAAAACTCTAGATTTACGACAGAGCTGCGCTACGTGGGTTGTTGGGCTCAAGGAGCTTATCCCTAAACCCTAAACCTAAACCTCTAGAACGAGGTTTTTGGGTTCGGGGCTCATAGGGATCAGGATTCTCGAATTGAGGGTTCAGGGTTGAAAGTTTAGGGGTTTAGGGCTTAGGATTCAGTGGTAAACAATGGCTTGTGTGTTAAACACAAGGTGTGTTGCATGGTTTCTGCAGGGGGCTGCAAGAGCTCCATGCGTGTTCTACTAGGGTTCTAAGGTTGATGCAGGTTTTTAAACGGGTTCTACAAGCGCTGTTCGAGAGTTCTTTGCGAGCTTTACGAGGGTTCTTTGAGGGGGGTTTACCCTAAACCCCAAACCCTGCACCGATTAGAGACTTGTTCCAGTTTCCGTGTGCATATTCACAGAAGCTTTACCGGGCACATGAACTACTTGGCGGTTCATGGGTAGCTATAAATTGGATTTTAAGTAGGGTTCCTTAACAGGGATCTATAGGGTTGTCGGGTTTAGGGTAGTTGTAAGTAGGATTATAAGTAGGGTAACTATACTTATAACCTATATTAGGGGACTTATAACCCCACTTGTAACTACCAGTGGTGATATTGACATGGCCATGGGCATAGGAAGTCGAAGGTGGATCAACACGAGCAACAACGGAATCTAGAGTTGGATGGACCGGACCCTGAGCCCGAATCTTCATGGAGTGAACAAGTGTCGGCATAAGATGAGACGCGTTCAAAGGGTCGAGACAGACCGTCTCGACAGACCTAACCCCCAAATCCTCTAATTGAGAGTATTCTCTACACCATCCAAAGGGATGCTTGTGAAGGGACACAAACCAGCGAGCCCAATGCCCCTTAATTAAACAATATAGCTTAAATCGATATACGAAGCCCCTAATTCTAATGATTTGAGGTTAAGGGTTCTGGGTGCTTCGGATAACAAGATATTCGAGGAGTCCCGCGAAACAAACCGCCCTCTCAGAGCACTGGAAGACTTCCGCGGCACTCGTCATCGCGGAGAAAAGATGCCAGTCTCGCTGAACCTGTAAGCCTATGTCTTAGAGTTTAGGGTTTGGGCTTAAGCCTTGTACTATCCACGCAGTGCCACCTGCCACTACACAGACGCGTTTCGTCGCTTGGCGTTCTCCAGTGCTATAGTGCCGCTGTTGTAGGCCTGTTTCGGGTTTTCCCAGATTCTTAAGGGTGCAAGCAGCGCGGAAGTCATAATCTAACCGTTGATATTGGAGGAGCTAAGGAGCCAGGGATGATGATAATCCCTTTTAAATAAGGAGCTAAAGAGCCAAGGGAGCCCCAAAACCACTGAATAGTAATCGTAGTAGCATCTGAAGCAGAAGCAGGAAGACCAGGAGGTGCGGGAGGAGGACATACAACAGTACTAGCAGGGCATCACCAATAGCTGACACATGTTAAAGAAGGCATGAGGGAACTCGGTTTTTATCTGTATGGTTGAGTACATACTGTACTTGTCATATTGATCCTCTATCTTTGTATACACAAACGGATATTGTTAAACGGGCAATGGACATGCATGGAGACTCAGTTAACTCACTTGTGTGCAACACGCATGCACTCATTTCATAATTCCAAATGTGTATGTCTCGCTTTTGTTTTATTCCTGCATGCCTCAAACATCTTTGTTCCAAGTACTTCTAGCCAGAGGATGTATGCTTGGAAGTTCAAGAGTTGGGTTCTTCTTAGGACAGCCAAACTAGCTCAAACGGTGCCATACGGTTTATTCTCCGCACAAGTTAAGTGCCCTCATTGGTTCTGTCAGTAGTTGCACCTTCATTCATACTCATACACCCTAAACCCTGGGTCACACCTCCTCATTTCCCCGCTGCCTCAACCCTGGACTTCGCCTCAAGCCCCTTGGCCTTAACCAAACCTCCTGTGCAGTACCCAGCTGCTGATGTTCCGTCGGGCCGCGGCGAACGAGGCACTGCTAAGTTTGGTTTCGATGATTCAGAAACCACGTGGCTTTCAGACAAATTTCTGGAACAGCTACAACAAGACCAGCAGGAAAAACATGTTGCAAGTATTAAGCATGACACAAGTCAGCAGTACTCTCTGCTATCCTTTTGGCGTGGTGCCGGTTGCCTACGCCCAAGAAACCTGGCATTCTGAAGCCACGGTGAGTAGGTCTCCTGGGTGTCTATTCAGCTAAACCTGCTCGCAGAACGAAGTGCTGTCGGACTTGGATGCCACTTGCGGTTTGGGGCTTAGGGCTTCTGATTTAGTATTTCAATAGGGTTTAGGGTTTAGGGTTTTTCAGGTGGCCCAACTGATTGTTACCGAGATCCTGAAGCCAACGCCCTTGACTGAAAGGGGGGCAAGTGGTGGGAGGCAAGTTATGCACGGTACACTCTCACCTGACGCCAACATGCGCCGTCAGGACGCAACTTTCGCCACACATTCTGTCACTGACCATGCGAAGCTACTCAAACCATAGTGAGAAACTGTTGAAAGCTTATGTAGCTGTTCATTGTGAAACTGTAGTTTCCATTCCATTATATATGTATGTACATATATATGTATACAACAACATACAAACGTGTATATATATATGCACATATTAACATAGATACACATATATATATATACACATATATCATAAAGGTTGAGTACATAGTCTATATTTGGTCCATGCACTGTCGGGGCCCCATGAGGTCGCCTCTCGTCGGAGCACAGAAGAGGCGAGCCAGAGTACTGTTGAGTGTTTAGGATCAGTGGCGTGAATACGCAGAATGGGGTGCTGGGATAGAGTATAGTATATTTGCTCCTGAACCCGAAACCTTCAACAAATAAGGAGCCGCAAGAAATACTCTAACCAGTTATTTGAGCCCTCTAGGCTTTAGTAGACTATAGGTGAACTCCGGATGGGAGGGTCTTCCAGGCACTGCCAAGCTAGCCGCAACACTCGGGCCGACGGGAGATGCAGGTGTGATGTGTGAGGATACACGGCTTGGGAGGACTATAGAGGCCTTGATGATTTGAAAAAGGGTCTTGGGTATAATGTACTATAGCCCACAATTAATAATGAGTTGAGGTATTCCCGCTCTTATCTTTCGTCGCCGGGCTCTAGCTTGCCGATGATTGGCTCTTACTTGAAAACCATAAACCCTAAACTCCCTAGACTTTAAGCCTTGCACTTGTGACGAACCGAACTTTATATGGTGTGCGAGGTAGACACATTGAGCAGTAGCAAAATCATTTGGTTTATGCCATTCCGGGAGATGTGTGTTTTTGTGAATTTGGTTACGTTGCTTTGACTCCTTGAGCACACTTTGGTTTTCGAGCATTCGTCGACTTGCCTAGCTGTAAGCGTATGCAACACATCCGTGACGGCAGACATGCTGACCGAGATCTCACTTGAAAAGGTGAAGCAACTGTACTAACTGTACTCGTTCGAATCCGGTGTCATCAGCTGGTAGACCGCGTTGAAGAGAATCTTCCTCCAGCATAGGATCCTGTGCGGCTTCTGCAAATAGACCTTAAATCACTCGTGGCTTCATATAACGATTTAAGCCATTTTCCTTCATTAAGGGGCATCGGGCTCTCTGGGTAGGCTCTCTGCGCAAGCTGTTCAAGCGGACAGGCACTGCTACAGATGTGCTCAGAGGTTGGACAAAAGCTGCGCAACTCACTCAGAGGGGATTTACGGCTATAAGAAATTAAATGTAGACATTTTGGCTTTAGGGTATTCAGAGGGGATCTACGGCTGTAAGAATTTGAATTTAGGGATTTTGGCTTTAGGGTACTCAGAGGGGATCAGGGGCTTTAAGGGTTTTGGGAAAGAGAGGTTAGGTTTGTTGGATTTGTTACGGTTTAGGGTTTAGGGTTGGGGCATGCCTACGAGGGTTTTTGGCCTCAGTTTGGAGGGCTCTGCTCAGTAACCCACCGTTCGGCTTCGGAGCTTCGTTTTCACACTTCGACCCTTGCGGTATCCATACTACACAGAGTATGGTAAGGGTTTGGGGTTGCAGACTAGGTGAGTCGCACTGCCGCTGGATGCAGGGAGCGAGGAATAAGATCCCCACCCGACACCACATTTTGGGTAGTTCTCCAAATGAGGTCTCTTGTTGGATCCCCAAAATGGTACGACACCCCCATAAAAAGGATACTAAACGGGACCCTGATTTAATGCAATACCCTTTTCTTTCGTAGGAGCCTTCGTCATAGTCTGGAGCACCAAGTAGCAGTTGCTTGGGTTTACGCCTCCGGTTCTGCAAGCCAAGAACAGAACAGATTGATGGCTAGCGGCCCGAATTCCAAAATACAGGAGTCCAAAAACATACTAAGAACATTCCCTTCTAGTCCCTAGACAATATAGAAATGTCAGCCAGAAACTCTGTTCTAGCTGTTTTAAGACCCCTGTATTGCATGCTAGGATCAAGCGGGACAACACCAGTTGTACAGGGATTCAGTTTTCCGAAACACCTGCTCAACAGACTTCAAAACCCTGAAGCCCAATGCCCTAACTCCAAACCCCAACCCTTAAGAACCCTATACCCTAAACCTCTGAACTCCTATGTAGATCCCTTTTTGGACACTTACAGATCCCTTATAGGACCCTTATAGATCCGTCAAAGGACCTTCATAGAACCCTTTAAAGGAGCTCCTAAAGATCCCTTCTAGGACCCGTATAGATCCCTTGAAAGGAGCCCCTAAGGCGCTGATGTCGAGCGTGAGCGCTGCGCACGAAGCAAGGCAGAGGCGAGCTGAGGGGGGGTAAATATGGGGGCCGAAATAATTGCCTATACTATTTTGGGGGGTTCCTTTTTATAAGTATAGTACAATGGCCTTAAAAAAAACCCAGTTGAACTTAGAGGACCAGTGGACATAATTCGGGCTTAGGGTTTTCGGGTTTATTCGGGCTTAGGGGTTAGGGTTTTCGGGTTTCGGGTTTAGCGGATCGGAGGACAGACCGAGTCAGCCACACGTGTATATAGCTACTTTTAACCACTGTTCGGGTATATCCATACTGTTACTAATCACTACCCACGAACCTTCCGGAGCCTACGTAGTTGCTCAGCTGCCGGAGCAGGATCATCTCCACTATTTTTTGGGAGGGGTGCGAAGTTATAGGCCAGATGACTCCACTTACCGCTGGTGCTATCTCGGTCTGAAGGCTCAGATTGCCGACCCCGAGGGCTTTCCAAGCTGCACCCTAAACCGCCCCAATCAGAGCTTTCGAGTCGAAACGGTGGCATTGACCCCGAAAATCCCCGAAACGATTTCGCATCTCAGATAGAAAGGCTCAAGAAGGTAGTAGAAACCCACAACGTTGTGCGGGTGGGAGCTTGTCATGAGGTCTCTGGCCAAGGCTGCCTGGAGTTCTGTGAGAGAGATCAGGTTACGTAGAGGATCATGAGACTTAGTAGGTTATAATTGGAGTTATAAGTCTCCTAAGGTGGGGTTATCCTAATTATAACCTACTTTTAACCTTACTTACTAAGTCCCATGAGCTTTCAAGTACCGGGGCTTTAGGAGAAAGGCCGCCGCCGAGCACACATCACACGTCCAATTCCCCCTGATGCGACACAGGTGACTGTCACAGAGAGTAATCCCAATACCCCACCACAGACCATATGGGAGTTTCCGAAAATCGGGGACCCTAGTATAGTACCCTAAAAAGTAGGATCCTATTACAAGGACCCCCAAATAAGGTACCCCTAGTTTGTGGAAACTCCCATATCGTAACCTTGCGTCTGACAATCGAACCACTCGGACGCAAGACCCGAGACCTGAAGAAAGCTTGAAAGCTTACCTCAGCAGGGGCGGGGGACTTAGTAAGTCGCTTATAAGTAGGGTTATAATTGGGGTAACTCCATTTAGGGTACTTATAACCTACTTACTAAGTCGCCTGCCCCTCCAAGTACCTCAGGAGGCAATCGTGGCGTTTCTTACAACCATGACGCGGCAGTGGCGTCAACTTCAAAGCGCTCAGCGGCCAGTCTGAAGGCTAATGAAAAAGATGCGCTCTTCGCTTGTTCGCCTGACGGCCTCACGCAGAGGTCGAACAACTAGTCATGATATCCCTTACTTGGAGGGGCAGGGGACTTAGTAAGTGGGTTACAAGTAGAGTTATCAGTACCCTAAACGGAGTTACCCCAATTATAACCCTACTTATAACCTACTTACCCATTCGTGTGTTTTCACAGGAATCTGGGGAAGTCGTGGGATTGCTTCAGGCAGCCGGCACAGCATCTGAAAAGTAAAGATTGCACCCTCAGACATCGAACTGATCTGGCGATTCATAGAATTAGAATAGGGTTTTGGGGCATATAAAACTGCTCTACTAGATGCCCCCCCAAATAGTATCGGTAACTATTCAGCCTCCTATATTCGACTGGCCGCCGTTTGAATTTGGTTTTCTTGGTAGGGTGAGCGGCCTGCCCGGCCTGGAGTTGTCTTGTTTCGGCCCCTGGCGAGGGCGAGGGGTGCGGGGTGTCCCTTACTTGGAGGTTCATGGGTAATTGGGTTATAAGTCCCTAAAATGGGTCCTAAGTCTACTTACCCTACTTCTGACCCTACTTATAACTACCCATGAACCTCCAAGTAGCCAGGGATGAAGGTCTGAAGGACTTGGCGCTTACCCATATCGGGATCAGGGCACTCAGCGACTAATATGGAGTCGGAATACTTTATCATACTTCTCCCTAAAAAAAGCCCTATTTTGATTACACTATGATATGGGAGTTTCCGAAAATCGGGGACCCTAATATAGTACCCTAAATAGTAGGATCCTTATCATAAGGACCCAAAATACGGTACCCCTAGTTTTCAGAAACTCCCGTATGCCCTCCCCCCCCAACGCCTATTCTAATGAGCGACGGGTGCGAATCGTCACGGCCCCTACATTGGGTGCATGATACACGCTGGTCCACGCTGAGCTAGTCAGTTCTACAACCGAAACCCTAAACCTTTAGGTTGCTGAGCAGCCCCTTTACAACAAGGGTACGAACCCTTTTTCAAGGGCAAACGGGTACTACTCAGGAACCCTGGTAGTACCCTTATAGAACCCTGAAAGGGATCCTTATCTGTCTGGTTCTTTGAGGCTTGGATAAGGCTTGGTGGAACAACCAGGGTTCTTTCAGATACCTCCCTACACCCTAAACCCTAAAGACGACGTGGCCTTCCACTTTGATATTTTTCGCAGTGCTCGGATGATTTCTCGTACTCTGAGTTGGTATTTCCCGACTCGACAGGGACCATATGGTAAACCCCATAAAGTTGGAAACCAGATTAAGGGCAAATAATGCTGGGATTCCCTTTACAGTACCCTAAACCCTAAACCCTCAAGGATTGAGACTATTGGGTTTCGAACTTTTGGGCTCCTACTGTACTTGGAGGGGCGCCTGCAGGGGAAGCCTGCAGTGTGCAGATAGACCCAGGGATGTAGGGTTTAGGGTTTGCAGTTACGTCGAGTGCCTGAGAGAGAGAGGGTTTGGAGTTACGTAAGGCGCTGGCCGGCACCTCAGTCCGTGCTGAAGATGGGGTTTGGGGTTTTAGGGGTTTAGGGTCCGACGGCAAACTGCAGCACAAACAGGCTTTCCCGACAAGGTTTCCTGTCAAGCCCAAGAGCTTGCGAGAGGAATTTCTCACCCTGAAACCCTTTCAAGCCTAAAAGCGATGTACAGCAGCGGTCCTCAACCTTCCCTTAAGAGAGAATGTCGACCGGCCAAGCTCGAGCGTCACTTGGATCCATGGACGAGACAGCAAGAAGCAGCTGGATACCGGAAGGCGACATCACCCGGGACCACATCTGGGACACCTTAAACGACTTTGCACGGGCTGCGCCGCAGTGGCAGCACATACTTGAGATCGAACTGGCAACAAAGACAAGCATTGTCAGCGATGTATACTTCATAGACGATGCGAAGATCCCAGCCATCACGGTTGCAAGACAGGAGGAAGCGCCGAGGACTGAGGAGTGCAGCGAAGGGAAACAGCTGACCGTTGAAATGTTGTCGGGCAAGGTGGTGCAGATCAAAGTACCAGCCCCGCACACGGTTGCCCAAGTGAAGCAGTGCTTAGAGCCCCTCCTTGGAATTCCAGCTTTCCTGCAGGGGATTATTGTCGGTGCCGAAGAACTCCCAGACGAGGCTGCCGTGACTGGGGAATCCGTGGCGTTCCTGCAGCGTGAGCCGCCCATGATTGAGGCAGAGGACTTCTTGCGTAGCATGGTCAATATGCCTTGGGAACCTACGGATGTTGTTCACAAGTGGCACGCCTCCGATACCGACAAGAAGCTCCCAATACTTAAATCGGAGCTCTTGGAGTGGGCGCTGTCTCACCGAAACATGCAGAATCTCAGATTGCCAAAGGAAGTGCGTTAAATTGTTTGTCTTCATATCTTCGGTTTATTTTAGACAAAGAGCTTTAACATGTTTGGCTTCCTATCTTTGGTTTATTTTGGAAAGTTTTAGCTTTTTTGGGCCCGGTTATCGAAGAAGAGAGGAATGTGCCCTTGTGCACGGACGATGTGCTCAGAGTCCTTGATGTTTGGCTCGACGCAAATGCAAAAGCAACCTAGTTAGCTGAATGAGTATATTCTTGGTGTGATAAAATTAGCCCTTTTAGGGCTTATGAATTCAGCAACTAAGGCAGGAACACATCCAGAGATCTTCAGGGAACATGTGGAGAAGATCACTGCGTTCATGCGCCATTGCTGCTACAGCCCATCTTTGCTGGTGGTCTACAATGAGCGTTTCATCCACGACGATGACTTAGAGTATGTCCTCTTCTTCGTCGGCAGGCTGAGAAGCTGGGCTTTGGAGTACCATACTTTAATACTTTTTTTCGTAAGGGAACCATTATGAAATAAAGGTTTATACTTTTTTCTCCCTGGTTACTTAAAAGCCCAGGAAGTGAACCTCAAACCCTCGTAGTGCAAAGCTTTCTCCTCAATTGCTGGATCACCGGGCTTGTCATGGTGAAGTAGGAGGCCACAAAATGGGAGTTTCCGAATATAGGGGACCCTAAAATAGTACCCCAAATACTAGGATCCCTATTATAAGGACCCCCAAACAAGATACCCCAAATTTCCGGAAACTCCCAAATGTTGGATCTGAAGACAAGAGCTCTGAAAGGGAGACTCACCCTGAACCCAAATCCTGCTCCTATCTTGGCACATCTGCTCCTTGCGACTACCTCGGGATTTGGTTTGGGGTTTCGGGCACTCCGGGTTCTTGTATTTGGAGGATAGGGGACATAGTAAGCAGGGTCACAATTAGGGTCTAGGGTTTACAGATTTAGGATTTTAGGGTTCAGGGGCACTCCTAAACACTAGCTGCAGTTTAGTACTGGTCGTTTCTGTACTCCTTCGGTTGCATCCCTCGTGAAACGAGAAGGCTCTGCTGTTGAGGGGTCTTTGCTGCCACACAACCCAAGCCCATGCTGAAAAGGGGCCCGCCTGGGTTCTTGCAGTTAGAGGAGAGCAAGCAGTGTCATAAGTAGGGTTTAGGGTTTAGGGGACGTAGTAAGCAGGGTCATACGTAGGGTTTAGGGTTTAAAGTTTAGGGTTTGTGGGGTTGAGGAACCCTGATCACGGGACATTGGGGCAGCTAGAGTTACAACTACTTACAATCCGTCTTAAGGTAAATCCATGAGTAACACGGGCCGCGAACCTTCAAGTACTGACTGTTCAGCTGCTGGGGCAGGATCATCTCTATTTACCATTATAAGGGTCTATAGTAAACAATACAGTTTCTTTCTTATGATAACTTAAATTGAATTCCTTAACAAAAACCCAGTATTTTTGGAAGGGTGTGAAGTTACAAGCCAAGGATGCTAACTCCACTCACCGCAGGCGCTATCTTAGTCTGAAGGCTTCAGATTTACTACTCCGAAGGCTTTTGAAGCTGTAGCCCTAAATCACCCCAATCAGCGCTTTCGAGTGGAAACACTGGTTTTCACCCCCGAAAGGATGTCGGAGCTCAGATAGAAGTTCTCGTGAAGTTAGTAGAAACCCGCCACGACGTGGCTCGAGGGGCGTGACATCAGGAAAGGCTGCATGAAAGTCTGCGAGAGAATCAAGATACCCGATATTTGGGGGAAGTCTGCCACCGCATACACATCACATGTGCATCCCATTCCCCCTAATAGGGCCCAGGTAACTGTCACAGAGTGTAATCCGAGTACCCCACGCAGAACACGCCAGGACACATCGTAAACGCGTGTCTGCACTGGGACCCTAAACCTTAGGTTCTGGAATGCTGGCTGACATTCGCAGTGCCACGTCGAAACATTTTTCCTTTTGAGACCAGTCGTCGTGAATCCTTGCCTGCCGTGTGCGAGGCGAGAGCCGAAACTCCTAAAAAAAGCTTGCCGAGCCTACCTCAGAAGGCAAGTGTCTAGACGCCTATACTCTGGCTGCAGTCGAGAATAACCTTAAGGTGTGGGGTGCCTGGAGTTTGTGGTATTTTCGGGTTTGGGGTTTAGGGATGTTTAGGGTTCTCGGGTATATGAGAGCTCATCCAAGCCCTGAAAGCCTCATGACAACACTGGAACGACCCCAGGCTTTCCGATTCACGCCAGCCACCGGCTCGAAGGCTTCCTTGGCGAGTCCGATGGGAAAGTAAAGGTAACATTTCACATGTGAGGCCAACCCATACCGCGATCCACGACAGTAGTCGGCCGGAAGGAGTCGTGAAGCATTGCTCGAATGATTTTGTCCTGCCTGCTCAGGATATAGGTATAGGGGCGCTGACACCTTCCAGCACTGCCACGTAGCCAAGGGGGAGTGCAGACGTCACCGTGGCCGAACATATCGCCTGGAACCACAGCGGCTATATCGAGCCATGACTCGTCCGAGCCGACTTGCCGTTCTCTAACAGGCTTCGCCATGGCTCTCCTTCACGGAGAACATAGCGGTGGCCTTGTGGTTCGCGGTGGCGAATGTGGGAGAAAGGGGGTGATCGCAGCCGTCCCGGACTCCTCCCTGCTGTATTGGCGGCTTGAGGATGCTTGAGGAGTTTCAGGCACGACCTCCCTGCAATTTGACAGGAGCCGGGGGCGCGACCCAGGGGCCCGGACCGGCACGATCCGGAGGGCCGCTGGGTTCCAAGACCATGCGGAAGAGGCCAAGGCTCTACTCGTCCAGGAGCAGCAGATCGTGGCGGCCTGGGCATGCCTGGGCCCGGGTCTTAGATCCTATTGTGTCACAGAGTAAATTAAAAAGCATACAAAAAGCTGGGAGCTCAATATGCAAACATGTAGCAGGAAATAAACGTCACTTGGGAAGATGCCTGGGCGCGGGCGAGCAGAACGAAGCAAAGACTTCAACTGCCCCCGCACCGCTGCGATCTGGGGATGTTCACGTTGGAGGCTCTTCGTCTCCACCTACCGCAATATGCCGGACTTGGACATGTCAAGTTGGTTGGCCCTGTGAGGTCTGAACACCCTCCCCGTGCGGGCCGCCACCACTGCCGCGGAACTACATGCGCTGACCCCAGCGATAGCAGCAGTTTGCAAAACCGGCATTTGAAGTGGTAAAGTGAAGTGGGTTGTGACTGCCAGGCCTGGCTGCTGCGCGAGCGCCGGCAGTAGTAAGACTTTCTCGAAAGGAGTCGCCCAGATTTTTTCCGGCGTGAAACCGACACCGAGGGGGGGAAGAGTCTGCAGAATAGGCTTGTGAGCATCCAAAGATGCTTGCACAAGATATGTTGAGACTGTGAGACGAAAGGTCACAAGAAGTGATGAGCAACGCGCAGAGGGATGCCTTCTCGACAGGCATCGGCTCGAGCGCACATTATATGTATCCATAAGCGCCTTAAACTCCCCAGCTTAAAGCATCCGAAAGTTGAGGACCTTCAAAGCCAAGTCTGGCAATACTTGCAGATTCATGGGCAGTTATAAGTAGGATTATAATTATAGGTAGGGTAACTATACTTATAACCCATATCAGGGGCTTGTAACCCATGAACCTCCAAGTAGTTGTGGCGAGAAGAACAAGACCCACCAGGTTCCCCAGTAGCACCATCTTGCCCGTTTAGGATCCCTGCTTAGTCTACGGCTTTGTACGTGTAAGTGCTACGTATTGGAGCTTCTGAACAACATTGGTAAAAAAATTTGCGACATTGATGCTGAGGCGAAAGAATTGAAACTTTTGTTCGCCAGTGTTTGGCACAGGGTACTGTACTTCTCGACAAGAGCATTGGAGTTTCTCCTTCGCGCACACTGCGAGTATCAGTGGTAGTAGTATCTCAATGCTGAGGATTTTAGGCTGGGAGTTTTGATATCAGTTCCAGGCTTCCAGTTCTCTGTGGGATACAGATTTAAATGCTGGGTTAGTTCAAGCAGATCGCCCTTGCTCCTTTCAAGATCATTGCCCGATGCTCAAGCCCATACCAGGTTACCGCGCGCGTGCTGAGAGACCGAAGTGAAAGCGGCCCTGCCACGGGAGAATAACAAGTGGCTTGCAACCTATACCATACTATGCTATAGTATAGTATACTATTACTATAATGCACGATGTTATCATAGGACACAGTATACTGTACAGCATGCAGCCACAGCCCTGAGCCCTAGGAACCGGAAGCTCTTCTGTTGACTCGAAGCCAGAGACTCCAATATCCCTGAATTAAGGAATATACCTTAAATTATATTAGGATCCCCAATATGATTCAAGGAATATTCCTGAATTAAGGGAAGTTGGAGTTTCTGTCAAGCCATGGACGAGACAGCGGCAATCAGCTGGATACCGGAAGGCGACATCACCAGGGACCATATTTGGGACACCTTAAACGACTTTGCACAGGCTGCGCCGCACTGGCAGCACATACTCGAGATCGAAATCGATTCGGACACACGTATTTTCAATGATGTATACTTCATAGACGATGCGAAGATCCCAGCCATCACGGTTGCAAGACAGGAGGACGCGCCTAAGACTGAGGAGTGCAGCGAAGGGAAACAGCTGACTGTTGAAATGTTGTCGGGCCAGGCGGTGCAGATCAAAGCACCAGCCCCGCACACGGTTGCCCAAGTGAAGCAGTGCTTAGAGCCCCTCCTTGGAATTCCAGCTTTCCTGCAGGGGATTATTGTCGGTGCCGAAGAACTCCCAGACGAGGCTGCCGTGACTGGGGAATCCGTGGCGTTCCTGCAGCGTGAGCCGCCCATGATTGAGGCAGAGGACTTCTTGCGTAGCATGGTCGATATGTCTTGGGAGCCTACGGACATTTTTCGCAGGTGGCACGCCTTTGACACATACAGAAAATTCCCGAGGCTCAAGTCGGAGCTCTTGGAGTGGGCGCTGTCTCACCGAAACATGCAGATTCTCAGATTGCCAAAGGAAGTGCGTTAAATTGTTTGTCTTCATATCTTCGGTTTATTTTAGACAAAGAGCTTTAACATGTTTGGCTTCCTATCTTTGGTTTATTTTGGAAAGTTTTAGCTTTTTTGGGCCCGGTTTGTGAAGAAGAGAGGAATGTGCCCTTGACCACGGACCAGGTGCTCGGAGTCCTGGATGTTTGGCTCGACCAAAATGAAAAAGCAACTCAGTAAGATGAATTTGTGCACTTTGCAGGTTTGGGGGATAGCATTAATCCTTATAATTCAGGGCTTGTGAACTCAGCAACTAAGGCAGGAACACATCCAGAGATCTTCAGGGAACATGTGGAGAAGATCACTGCGTTCATGCGCCATTGCTGCTACAGCCCATCTTTGCTGGTGGTCTACAATGAGCCCTATGGCCACGACGATGACTTAGAGTATGTCTTCTTCTTCGTCGGCAGGCTGAGAAGTGAGCCGCAGACACTGGTAGTTCAAAGTTTCATCCTAAATTGCTGGGTCTGAGTGACAGAGCTCGAAGGGAGACAAAGCCCCGAAACCAGGGTTTTCGGATTTATACTTTAAAAGAATATTGTAGCCTGATTTTATTTGATATAATATAACACAATATAACATAATAAACCATAAAATAATACTTAACGTTGCAGGGCTCATGCAGGTTATCGCGACTGAAGCTTCAAGCTGGATCTTCTCCCATCTGCTCCTTTCAACTACTCTGGGATTCGATTTGGGAGGGATTTAAAGGGCTTGGGGGTTAGTTTCACCTGCATACCATAAACTTCATCTGGCGGGTCCGAGCGTGGCGCTGAACCCTAAACCATGAGGGTGATCTTGAGTGGGAGTAGCGCCTTACAGGATGCACAATCACTTTATTGTTGTAGGCGTATGGATATATGTTGACCGTCAAAGGCTCCCTTAGAACTGTTCCACTCATATGCCTCGCCTGGATTGTCCGAATGTGAGTGCCGAAACCATGAGCCCAACCCTGAATCATAACGCCCTAGGCCTTGGAGCCTGGCAGGTTTGTCGACAATGCAGCTCATGCCACATGCTTCCCCAGAGAGCAATATCCCTTAACTAAGGAATATCGCTCAAATGATCATAGGAAGCCCCTAATAATTTAAGACATATTCCTTAATTAAGGGGTATTGGGCTCTCTGGGTCAGTATTCTTGCCGCAGGTGCTGGGGCTCGGAGGGGCTGAGGGCATCGCATCTCTTCATATCTGCATGGGCCTACCGTTTGGGGCAATTGAATTATAGTTTAATGGGCCCCGAAACCCTAGTCTAATTATTAAGGCCCCTAGATTAAACCCCAAAAGGTATAGACTTTAAACAGGCCCCGAAAAGTGAACCCTCAAACAGACAAGTAGCCCCTTCTCGGATGTTGTTCAGACTTCAGTATCCTGACCCCTAAACATGTATCTTCCGCACTGTCGTCAGCTAGCAGTTGTTTGAATTATACTCCCATCTGAACCCTAAACCTTGAACCAACTCGGTTTAGCGTTGAGGGCTTTGGGGTTGCAGTGTTATTGCTACTAGCATGTTGCATGTGCGGCTGCCCTCCGGGCGGCTGCTGACATCGGTGACACTCCAGGAGAGACCCCAGGGGTGGCTTCGTAGTAGAGCGGGTACTTAGAGGATCATGGGACTTAGTAAGTAGGTTGTAGTTGGGGTTATAAGTCCCCTAAGTGGGGTTATCCTAATTGTAACCTACTTATAACCTTACTTACTAAGTCCCATGAGCCTTCAAGTAGTAGAGTGGGTAGCCTGTCAGGGTACCCTTTAACCTTCCCGGGGGTACTATAAACCCATGGAATCCCAAGGGTCAGACGGCAGCATTCTACATGGGCCTTTGGCACTGTACTTTGGGTCTCGGGCTTTCTGGTTCAAGCTTTGAGGAGGCTCTATTTCTCTGGCTTGAGGTTCGAAATATCCTGGTTTGTAGCGTCGTTGGATCTTGATCAAAGGAGTTTAAGGCCTGTTGCGGTGTCCTCTATTGCGTCCAGGGGTTCCGTACCTGTACACGAAGTTGGTTTCGTTTTTGTTTCGCTCTGGCAGTAAATGGTCCTTTGAATGGTTTTATTTCTTGGCTGCAGGATGCTGAGAAGGATGTCTGAGATTCGCTGTGTAGCAAGTTGTGGTTGGGTCATAGCTGCTGTTCACAAAATATCTGCAGAACCAGACATGCCTTTTCAGGAGATCTGCAAGCCGCAGCCGACCGCACGGCTGCTGAAGCAACATCTGCAGAGCCACTGTGGAGAGCCGCCATTCCGGCAGAGGCTCTTAGGCCCAGCGAGTAGCGCGTGGTGGGATCGCCGACTTTAGATGGAAGACAGAAGGGTTCGGGTTTCAGGGTTTAGGGTTTAGGCGGTGGAAGGCTTAGTGGTTGTTGTTTCGGGCTTTTGGTGTTTAGGGTTTAGGGGTCAAAGGTTTGACCCCGAACCTGAGTCACCATAAGCCCTGAGCCACTTTTCTGCCTGCGGGCTTCGGCGATGAGTATCTTCATATGGTCTCATATGCTATACTTGGAGGTTCATGGGTAGTTGTGAGTACGGTTATAAGTAGGGTAACTATTCTTAGAACCACTATCAGGGGACTTCTAACCCCACTTACAACTACCCCTGAACCTCCAAGTAGTGACTGTAAAGCAGAGGTTAACAGCCCAGAGAGCCCAATACCCCCAAATAAGGAATATTGAATATAGCTTAAATCATGATATGAAGCCCCTAGTGATTTAAGGTATTTTCCTTTACCCCTTAACCCTAAACCCTATAGATCAATAGATCCTTAAAGGAGCCCTAGGTCCTATATATTCCTTAATTAGGGTTTAGGGTTTAGGGTTTAGCTCTCTGGGTTAACAGTGTCTATACAGGTTTGCCAGGCTTTTCCTCGAAACCGCGTTGAAAGTATTTAGGCCCCTTACGGTAGAGTAGGGTTTAGGGGTTTGGGGGTTTAGGGTTTAGGGGTTTAGCTTTTAGGATTTAGGGGTTTAGGGTTTAGCACGGTAGAGTAGTCAATCATAGACAGTCTCGAAGAGTTCGTGCGGCCGCTAGCGATAGTCTGGCTCCAACAACTCATACCCGAAGTGCAGCTTACGGATTCAGGGCTTAGGGTCTTGCTGCCTGTCAGTCCTCCTCAACAAAAGGGCTTGGGGTCTAGGGCTGACCACCGAAACATGGGTTTGGGGTTTAGGGTTGAGGGTCATGGTGCAGACCGAAAGCTGAGATTGGGGGTTGCTCAGGGTTTCGGGCCCAGGACCACGAGCATGCCTGGACATTCCACGACTGACATGGCGAAAGCTCGTCGCGAGCACGCCTTCGGAAACCCTGGTCCTCCTCAGAGGCAGCAGCCTGCGGTGAATTTTGGGAGAAGTTGGCTAAGACGCGAGCCGGGTGGGGTGGCAGGCACCCGTGCCTCCTGGTGCCAGGTTGCTGGCGTAATACAGGGGCCTTAATTACGCCAGCGTAGACCCCAAACAGAATGCATCGAATCATGCAGGTTCAAGTTGGAACGCGTTGGAACCCAATCTGGCTTCACAAGCAGATGCTGCGAAAAAATGCGTAGACATATGGACTATTTTTTGCAAAAGAAGAATGGGTAGTGATGACATTCGCACGAGAAGGAAACGTTCTTTTTTTTTGGAAAAAAGAACGCCGTGAACAAGAGGTTTCGTTTGTGGTGGGCAGTCATATATAGTTGCACCGAATATGCTCCTTCTTGCAGGTTCAAGTTGGAACGTGTTGAAACCCAATCTGGCTTCGCAAGCAGACTCTGCGAAACAAATGTTTAGACATGTGGACTATTTTGTGCAAAAGAAGAACGGGTAATGATGACATCCACACGAGAAGGAAGCGTTCTTTTTTTTTGGAAAAAGAACGCCGTGACCAAAAGGTTTTGTTTGTGGTGGGCAGTCATAGTTGCACCGAGTATGCTCCTTCTTGCAGGTTCAAGTTGGAACGTGTTAGACATATGGACTAGTTTTGTGCACAAGAAGAATGGGTAGAGATGACATCCGCACGAGAAGGAAGCGTTCTTTTTTTGGAAAAAGAACGCCGTGACCAAAAAGCTTTGTTGTGGTGGGCACTCATAGTTGCACCGAGTATGCTCCTTCTTGCAGGTTCAAGTTGGAACGTGTTGGAGTGATGACATCCACACGAGAAAGAAGCGTTCTTTTTTTGGAAAAAAGAATGCCGTGACCAAAAGGTTTTGTTTGTGGGGGCCACTCATGCGGCCCAACCGTCCAATCCAGGAGCCCAGAAGGGAAACATGAAGGGAGCCCAATGGGAGCCCAGGCCCGTCGCCGCGGCCCACCCATCCAGCCACCGCGGCCCACCTTTTTTTCGGAGGAGAGAACCCCAAACCGTACCTGTTTGGGGAATAATTGCCTATATTATTGTGGGTGTTCCTTATTATAAGTATAGTCAGTATAGTATAGTGGGCCCCAAAACCCTCATTACTCAAAGTATTAAGGCCTCTATACTACAGTACCCTTATACAGTAGCCCCTATGGGTCCCTTTAAAGGAACCCTATTCTAATCATTAAGGCCCCTATATTACCCCAAAGCCCATGACCGCAGCTCCGCGATCACAGGGCCAGAAGCCCGACGCGGCCTCAACATTATGACCCACTTCCCGTTCTCGGTGCAAGCCCAGCGAGAGTCAAAAGGGGAAAGGAGGGACCCTTAATAAGGACCCCTAGGTATTATACCCTTAATATAGCTATTCTGTACCCATTATATAGCCCCTTTATAGGGTAGAGGTCCCCATTAAGAATCCCTCCTTTCCCCCTTTGAGAGAGGACGAGGCCACTGCTTTGTACTCGGAACTACTCGCGGCAGGCCCATTGCGTGTCGCGGAACCCGTCTCTCCGCTTGCGAGAAGCTCGAGATGCGAGACCACTTCATTACATAGGGGTACTTAGAAACAGTTTTAGTTTTTGGTTATTATAATCCCTAAGAAACAGCTAAGATTATAATTTTGGCTAGGGTTCTCAATTCGATATAGTATCGGACACCCTAAACCTTACTTAAACCCTGACCCTACAGACCACAAAACCACTATCGGAGAGATCCAAATGGAAGACTGTTTCATTGTCGAACACCCTAAACCTTAAACCCAGAGCCTAAGGACCACAAAATCATTGTCGGATAGGTCCAGATGGAATGCTATTTCATTATCGGAAGAGACCGCAGAATTACTGTCGGAGAGGTCCAGATGGAAGACTAGTTCATGAACAGAGACCTTAATCCCTGAACCGAACTCTAAAGACACGCGAATACCGGAGAGGTCTAGTTCATTCTCGGGGACCCTACACCCTAGACCCTAACCCTAAAGACCACAAGATCAAAATCAGAGAGGTCCAGGTCCTACACCTTCAACTCTACCCTAGAGACCACAAAATCATCGGGGAGGTTCGGATGGAAGACTGTTTCATTGTCGGAAGCCCTAAACCTCAAATCCTTCCCCATATGCCTGGCCTGGATTGTCCGAGTGTGAGCGCCGA